CAACAATGTAGAATTTTAAATAACTCTTTTAGTATTTTCACTCGTTTTAATTAAAAATAAAACAAAAACAAAAATCTACATATAATCACAAAGTAATAGACGTAAAATATTTTATTCTTATTATCAATGATGAAAGATATATTATGTATTATTAACAAATACAATCATTGCACAGATAATAGTTATTAAATAATGACATTATAGTTCAACAAGAAATACCAAAGGGATATATATACATCATATAAATAACCATTTTATTATTTTTGTACATTAAAAAGTACAATCGTCAAACTTTTGACTAGAAAATAGAAATACATAGTAGTCTTATTAAAACTTCAATCCGTACATATTAATAATAATTATTCAATACATAGATATAGATTTGTTTATTGTGATATATCATATCTGCTATATATTGAAGATCTATAGTATAAATTAATAATTATACAAAAGAGCTTCATCCTCTGAAATTTCTAGTGAAGTGCAGTGTGGTGTAACATGTTCAGCATTGTTAAAATGGACATTTTTGCACGTAGCCTCTGATGGTTTTCCACTTTCCCCTACTAAATTTATATTCTCCATTATAATTCCTTCACATGGAAAGTTTGTGCTGCAATCAAATTTTATGGCCACCTTTGTTGCACTTGTGCCCTTGATATTCTCATACACCACATTTTTCACTTGAACTGCTGAAAACTGGAACAAACAAAGTGATTAAATAATCGTGAGAGATCGAGTTAGAATTTTTTTTATAACTTAATGATTTTTACTTATTTACCCAAATGCTCTCTTTTAAGGATATACTCTACTATATTTGATTCGTTTTGAAATGACTTCATCTATATGTTTGAGAATCTGCATGTATTCGTTTGTGTAGTCATGATTGATTTGAATCAATATTTTAGATATTATTAAATTTGAATCTAATGTTTTATGTATATGTTTCTCAATCTTACATACAAAATATTAGATAACGTCTAATAATTTATAAAAAATTTAGATTATAATCTAACATTTTTTCTTATGATATTCAGTTTACTTTAACAAGATTTTTAGACCATAGTCCAAAAGATCCATAAATTAGAAGAAAAATAAAAGGAATAATGAATATCATTTACTAAAAATCTATTCAAAAAGTTACTAACTAGTGAAAAGAATCTCAAAGTTTTAATGATGTAAGGTGATTTAAGAAGTAATAAAATATAATAAATTGTTCGTTAATAAAAAATTACCTGTTGTATACATGGTTCAACTCGATCACAATAGTTTTGGTCTATAATTATGGGATACTTAACGTCTTGCATTTCCACATTCAGAAATTTGATGTTGCTAGCTTGTCCAGATCCTCCCTACATTATTAAACCACATTATATTAATTTATATAATGCTTAATTACATGTTAATTAAATTTATAATTATTAACATTCAACCAAGAACGTCCATCTGAATAAACAGACGTGAGATCTTCCTATTGATACTAGCACTAGTGGGACCGGCCGTTGCAGCCCCTTTTCATTATAAGTTTGGTTTAATCATGACCCAAAACTGGATAAACCAAACTTCTAAACAAAGCAACACATTTACACTTAGTACGAGTACAATAATCTGAAGTTCTGAACATTTTTTTCTATATAACATAGAAAGCTAGTAAAATACATACTTTTATTCCAAATATAAATTTTCAAACATGAAATCAAATTTAATCATATTTTAATATTGATATTCGATTATAAATTTAAAAAAAATTAAAAAAATGTGCGTGTGGGGGGGGGGGGGGAGGGTACCTGCCAAGTCTTGATCCTAACTCCATTTTCGGCACCGATAATTTTGGCTTCATTTACAGTAACATTAGACACATAAGCTTCTGAATTTCCAGATCCTAAGCTTCCAATACTAATCCATGGAAAAATAAAAAGAGAAAAAATAAGAGCAAATATTCAGAAAGATTATAGGTACCAAAACCACATTTCGTCAATAATTATTGCATGTTTTATTAGATTATAAAACACTCTTAATTAGTTAATTTAATATGAAAATGGAATAGTATTTTAATAAGGTAATAACATTTTTGATCCCTCAATTATTAGTTCTTCTAATTTTAGTCTTTATGATATCTTCAATTACTTGAAATGTACACTTTGAACTATCCCTTTTCTTGTGAATAATCAAATTCGCAAAATTATTCATCATTTCGTCTTTTGATTAACTATATGTGCTATGTTAAAGCATGTATTTTTATGTTGAACTTAAGGATAATATACTACTTCAAAAAAAGCTCAAATATATATAGCACATCTAAGCAGACATTTTAAGAGCCTGTTT